AAAAAAAAAAAACACACACCCCACACACACTTGCCAATGAACACTTTTATTGGCACTTCGTCATTCACAATACATCAGTGAGTAATCACAATGGGGCCAATGGTTGCTTTCCCTTCCGATACCAGACCTGAAAACAAGTGACAAGGTGAGAAGTTAAAGTACACTTTTCAGGTTACCCAAGTTGTTCTTTGATTCAGGTTACCTGAATCAGACAGTGCTTGTCCCTTTCTGCCGAGACCACACGTGGTGTCACAGCACATGTACACCTGGTCATCGTCATCTATAGAAGGCAAACAAAACTGGTTACCCTTTTAACGCCTCATAATACTAGACAAATGAAAATAAACATACCCATTTATGAAGGAGCAAGCCTTGTTCTCTGGACATGTGGGGGTTGAGGCCATAACAGCCTTTAGAGCAGGGGCGATGTACACCTACAGAATGACACATGATCAGTAAAACAACTCACCCACAGAACTACAGCCCAAATTACAATACCAAGCCACTATCATCTTGCTGGAATCTGAAAGCCTCCAACTGAAACTGCAGCTTGTCACTCTGAATACGACGCATGAAACTGGAAGTGGAGCCTGTAAGCTTTGCGTCTACCAGGCACCTGAAGAGAAAGCGTGGAAATGCAAAAACATTTTAGGCTCCGTTTGCAACAGGGAAATGGAGCGGTTCTTTACTAACCCATGGTTCTCAATAAAGGAATATCTTGGAGAGGTGGTGTTCACATTAGGGGCTGCAGTAGCCACACAACCATCCACAAAGATGCGCAGAGGAACATGGTTGTACTGCTTCACAGAAGCTTCAAGCTTCAGGAATTGCCCTAGGAAGTACTGATTGGATGGCCTCTCAAACATCCAGTCATCTGAAATGAAAGTCAGATTGGCAACACTACCTAATCACTTATTGAAGTTATAACACTTAAATACATATTACCAGTCATGAGCCTCAAGGAGAACACCAGAACTTCCTCTGCAACTTTAGTTGCAGCAAAAGGAACCCAAGCGGGCAACAAGATATTGCTGCTTACATTATACAACCTATTGGGAGAAGTAAGAGGATTAGGTGTCAGTTTTGGTCAAATTCTTAGACAAAGTGGTTTACTACCTTGAATAGTGGCACTCAATTCCAACAGCTGCTACATCAGCCCTTACAATGGGAGTTCCTACTAAAGCCACAGAAGTATAGAGGAGGTTGAATGTATACACAAGCTCATTATCAGTCATCTGAAAGCAGTACAAGTGGTGAATTTTTGGACAGACCTAACTTTTACACAAATTCTACAGTAGACCTACATGCAGCCACTCACCATCAGAGAGCTGTCACATGTCTGGAGCTCATATTCAAATATAAGAACTTCAGCTTCTGGATCCTCCCCTACAGCTGCACAGCCTCCTAAAGTGAGAAATGAAGGATTCACCAGCTGACCAATACCAAAGAAGTCCTTCTTCACCTCCACATGCACGAAGTTCTCCCCACATTGTGCTGCAACACTCTGGGGAGCTATAGGTACACGCTGCTCAAAAGGCACATCTGGCTGTTGGGGTTCTTCTGGCATTACTGGAAAATGCCAGGTCAAAGGTGCCATAGGAGCCTGCATAAGCTGTTTGGACTGACTACTTCCAGGTTCTTGAAGCTTCCGTGCATCCACCCCAGCAGGCCTCATTGCAGGTCTTGGAGGCCGAAAAGTTGTTGATGCCTGTGGATCTTGAACAGATTGCTGAGGAGCTAAAACTGGCGACTGTTGCTGTTGGAATCTTAGTGGATCCTGGCCTTGTTGAAATCTTGACCACTGTGCCAAACTCAAGTCAACTGCAATAAGCAACAACAATCCAACACAACTAAAAACCACCAGCCTCATTGTTAAAAAACAAATCTGAAACCTTCAGGATAACTACTGGTCTTCTCTGATGCCTGTTTCAAGAGCAGGAAGTTAAAATAGCTCTGCCCCCTTTTGACAAGCTTAATGATTTTCCAGACCTGTTTCATTAAAGGTTTTGGATGGCCCAAACGAGTACAACCTAGATCCAGGTGGCTCACTTGTTTTTCTTCTGGATCAAACTGTCCATTGGACATCAAGCAGTGAAACAATAAAGCCCTTAAATAGTTTATTTTACAAAAGTAAACAAACATGTTCTTTAATTCAGACTTTGATAAATATAACCATAAAACCATAGTCCAGCAATATGCAAAATATGTTTTTGGTTTCTAAATGTTTCTTAAATAGTTAGTTTCATGCTCTTGGCAGCCAAGAGCTTGAAACAAGTACACTGGGATTGTAAGCTTCACTCTAAAAAGATTTGAAGTGCTGTATGTTGAAATGAGTATCCCATAGATACTAGGATGGCCTACTATTTCCAGGGAATAAAATAAAATAAAATAAAATGTAAGGTTGCAGCTTGAATGTTGAAAATCTACTTAATTCAGTTCATGTTATATGGTCAGACAAAACAATTCAAGTTGTGATGAAGTGGAAGTAGAGACAGGTCTTTTCTTCTGTATTGGGTATCTGAATTTAACTGATTATCATCAAAGAAATAACATTTAGAGTGGGGTCATTAGTTGTCAACTGGCAGAACCAAATGTGAGTTTGCAGGCAACTATAGAACAGAATAAGCCTGGCATAAGTCACCAGAGAGAACTGTCATCTCACTGGAAGATATATTTGAGTGGAAGTTATATTTGAATAAGTGCTGTTAAAATTAACGCTTTAACGCATGCGATTGTTTTTTTTTTTTTCAGTTTAACACGTTAAAAATATTTAAAGCAATTAACGCAGGGGCGGGGCTAGGGTTGGCCACCCCACTCACTGCTACTTCTGTCTCTTTTTCTAGACAAGAATTTTGTTTATTTAGACGCAGAACGTCTTTACGGCTACATCAAATGGGAGATTTTACGCGCACTCCAACTTCGCCTCAGCGCCAGTCAAACGAGCGTGGAAAAGGTACAGTTGATGAGGAGCTTCAGTAGAACAACAGTGAACAGATGAGATGTTGTCGGGCCATGTCAGTAAAAACAAATGTTTTCCTGTTCTGTCAGCCGTTATACTGTACAGGAAATTTTTTCGTAGCACATGCTCTTCAATTTCACACACAAATGTGGCGGCACATGCTGTAGCCTTTCATATTAAAGAACAAAAGAAACTAAGAACATGTCGTAGTTATGTCGTCAGTTAAGTCATGAAGTTACCAAAAAGTCGATTAAAGCTGCCTTAAAACTGTGCATGCATGTAAGTATACACTGTAAAAAATGAATCATGGGTCTTGTAACTTTCATCAAAAAAATTAAGGTGATAATTAAAAATAATGTGTATATTTCATTAAAGAAATTGTGGTTCAGTGTTGTATAGAAAATATTGAGGACTTTTTACTAATAAAACCAAGAGATGTGTTTTCCTCATTTTTTTAAAGGAAACTTGAGCAGTTTTGAGGCTTGAATTGAGGAACTGATTATACTACAAAAAATAAGGTAAAAAGGCTACCTATTTATTTTAAAGCATGCTTTGCATATGGCTGGATATGGAGAGTAAATTTTGAAATTGAATGCTATTTTGTGTTTTTGAGTGAAGGGAAACATTGTTTAATGTTCAGTTATGCTTGACATTTGAAAGTTTCTGTTACGTTGAAGTTTCCATTGCACAGTGCAATTGTTACCATCGTGCAGAAGAGTAGAGCTTGTTATGGATATTACTCCTCTATGGCGTTAAGCCTTGTTCAATGAGCAGTAGCTTTGCTAGTGCAGTATTGCTCAAGTATTTTCCTACTTGAGCTGTATACAGTCTTTTAAATGTATAAAATAACTCCGTCAAATACAAACAGGCCTCACTCAAAATTACACTTGAGAATCAACTTAAAAAAATGAGCACATTTCACTAATTATAAACACATTGTGTCTGATTAATAAATTTAGGAGATTTTACATGATTTATTCAGGTAGATTCCATTTAAAAAACAAAACAAAAAAAGCCTTACAAAAACTACTCAAATATGTGTAATGTTACATAAAAAAAATTAAGTAGATAGCTCGTTCCATTTTCTTTAGTGTATTTGTTAAAAACCATGTCTCTGAAATGCAGTGGTTTTCAAAACTGTCATGGAGCACCCCAGCACTGTCTCCATCTAACACACC